TATATATGTGATATTGTGTAACAATGTGAAAGTCTTTTGATTAATTTAATGCACCCTTTCTGAATAAAAATATTATCTTCTTTAAAAAAAAAAAAAGGTTAATAATGTTAAGCTGACAAATAAGGACTACTGTCTCGAGAATAAACTCTGGAACACAAAAAAAGGGCTTTTTTTATTTATTTTTATTTATTTATTTTAGGTGAGTGTTAAGTAGTTTTGTTATAATAGACTTTACAAATATTGGTTTATATTTTTGCTAGTGAGTGTAAATATAAATATAAATGTGTCCTGTCAAAGGGATATTTTTGAACAGTCCAAAAGGCCAATATTCCATATAATTTTTTTCTTTTTTTCTCTCACTCACAGGTTGCTGGGTCTGTGATTTATGCAACAAAGAGTTTTCTACACCTCAAAAGAAAGGGACAACAAAAACACCAAAAAAATCGAAATAAGATCCAAAAAGTCGACCAATTTTTGACCACACTTTGGTATTAATTTCTATTTTCTATTATTTGAAGTCCATATGTGTTTTGTATGTTGCATGAAATTTTTGTACTTTTTTTTTATACAATTGTTTCCGCTTTACATAAGGGTTTTTGTATTGTTTACTTGTTTAAAATAAAGTTGAAAACAGATTTTGTGTGTGTGTCTTACTGTTTTTGTTGTTGCTCACTCCAGTGCATAATAATTCTTTCTTGGCGACAGTCATAATTCAGCCCTGCTGCTGCAGTAATTATACAGCATCTCATATATTTCTAATGAGCAGCAGGAGGAGAGGCACAGCCTGTTTTAACTACACCATAACAACACAAGTCAGCCGTCTCAACTTTCCCTGTCTAGTTAATGGGACTGTATTTTTTGTGTTGTGTAGCAGATGGCACGTGGAGGTCAATAGTGAAACAGCAGGTGACGGCTGCTCTGCCACCTGATAGGTGTGTTTGAACCACAAAAGACACGCCAACCTGCTCAGTGCTCCCTGGAAAAGAGACACTTGTGAAAGCCTCGTCACAAAGGATCCAGCTTTCCGTTGAGCAGTCAGGGTCTGTTTTGACCGAGCCACAGGTGATGTCTGGCCGTTTAGAGTCTGTGTTGTGTAACTAGATCCAGACAGCATCAGATAACTTTTCAAAAGCTCTCTTTTGGAAAGAGAATGATATGCCGGCCTTGAAGAAAATTAGACTTATGCAACCAGGGGTAGTGTATGCCGTCTTTGGCTGTTCTGATCAAAATCTGACCATTTTTACAGCGTGTCCTATTAAATTTCAACTCGGTGTCCATTGTGTTTCTTATTGTGTGTCTTATTGGCTTCGTAAAGTTTAAACTTTTGGATGGGTGTGCAGATATCTAATAACGAATCATGGTGTTAGCCACATTTGAAATACAAATTGAATTTGTATTAGACAAAATATCAATAATAATATACACTACTGGAAAAAAAAGTTTGAGGTCCGTAAGAATTTGAATGTTTTTGAGTCACTCAGCTCACCAAGACTGGATTTATTTTATCAAAAAAAAAAAAAAACATCATATAATATACCGATTCGCTGCTCAAGAAACATTTTAACATTATTAATTCTGAAAATGGGTACTTAATGTTTTTGTGGAAAGCATCATGCAAATTCCTTTAAAATAAATACCACTTGGTTGGATATTTGATCTGATGCAGTGGTATTCAGATGTTTAAATGGTGTCGAAGTGAAATGTAGAATATTTGTAACTTATTTTTGACGAATGTGCGGTGAGGTTTCAGGCATACAGTCAAAGTAAATTACGAAATGTGGTCTAAATAGTTGGACTATTTTAATGTTTACATGCAAGGTTATTTGACGTGAAGGAAGTAACATTAAGGTGGGAGAGGAGCTGGATGGATGCCACCTTCATTGCCTATCGCGGTAATACATTAGAAGAGTCCGTTTACATTTAATTTTACTTTAGTGGTGTTATTATCGAGAGCTTCAGAGTTGCTATATTTGATCAAGAATGAATGAGATGAATTTGTGTTCAGACTGCACCTTTGGGAACCACACGAGGGCACACTTACTCTGTTTTCATGTTTCCCTCAGTAACAGAGCAGGAGCACTGGGTCCTTTGCAGCACAGTATATATATATATAGCCTAGCTTAATGCATTGGATAAACATATTAAACTCGCCATTTCTAAAGACAGAAATTACTTTATTTACCTTTTTATCCAAATATCACAATTAGGTCAAAGCAGATATGAATTTGAAATCATTTTGCTACTTTAGTTTTAGTGGACGTCGCAGTGTTTACCTTTTTTGCTGGCTTCTAACATTGAGAAGGCTTTAATAATCTTTGTTTCTTTTTGCTCTCTCTCTCTCTCTCTTTCTTCTCTAAATTTCTGTATCATAAGTAATCAAGTTGAAGTGCAAGAGCAGAGTATATTTCTAAAAAAAATAAATTATAGCCTTTTATATAGGCCTAAATGCCTCCTTGAATTGCAAAACATGCGCATATTCATTTGAAAGAGTCACAGAGTTCAAATGCGCTGCATGAGAGGAGCGACCCTCTCTTTCGTAGCTGGCAAACTTTGACATGATTCACAAATAGAGCTCTTTAACCCTCCACACAAATTCCCCGTGCAGTCGGTGGGTTTATAAGCAATTATGGCTTTAGGAATAGCCAAATTACGTCAAGCCATGATATCCTGTGGTCAAAAATATTTTAAATACTAAGACTTCAAAAGCAGAATAAATACCAAAATGCACTTGTCATTTATTGTGATAGCTAATGCTATAACTTATATAGCCGCTAGTTATTATATAATAATAATTATTGGAAAGGCCCATAAGTATTAGCAATTTGGGCTAGTAATTAACCACCTAGAAACTGGATAGCAACATGCTAAAACCATTCAAAACATCTTAGAAATAATAGGGTATGAGGATGATGATGATAATAATTCGGATGGCTATGGTTGGCTTAATGTTAAATTGATGCTCAGTGAATTGTGTTTTACTGTAATCCAGAGCTGTCCAGACCTATATCTAAAGGTGACGACGTAACAGAAGGTGATAGATATTTTCTTCTGTATTGAGTGAAACAGATTATCAAAAAGAAGTGGGACGCTTCAGTTCATAAGCTGTTGATTGGATGGAACATTTTAGCATACTTTTAAACAGAGTAGACTTGCTTATTACAGAAATATAGTGCTTTAAAAGTATAAGCTGAATGTAATGTTATTGGACACTTAATTGCATAATATTTGCAGTTGCTTGCAATTAGTTGAACTTTAAAGTGTTTTTGACATAAGTAGGACTTGAATACATCTTTATATGTAAATTCATAATGAGTTCTATTGTCTTTGAAATATGGTTAAAGTGTACTGCTGGATATATAGGCCAGTATTTATGATAAACTGAATTTAATGTCATTTATATTAAAGCTTATCGTGTTTTTTTAATATAGGCCTATTTGTAATCACACATTTGCAAAATTTAATTTAGTGCACTTAAAATATATTAACTTTGAATTAGGGCTGTCGTTTTAGCGCGTTAATTTAATTAATTAGTTACGGAAAAATAACGCGATTGAAAAATGTTAACGCAAATAACGCACCCACCCCAGATCTGATCTTCATCTATTTCATACAGTTGACTGTTGACAAACATGATGCAGGGTAACAACTCACTGCGTGATGGAGCCTATAATGCAGTTATATGCCCCTTAAGTTTAATATATTGGGGCAAAAAAATGCCCCTGTATGAGTTTTTGTCTCATATTTATATCATATGATAACACGAGCAGTGAGAGCAATATCACACTAGTGCTGTTTTTGTCTCGAGTGCAAATATGATTTTATACAACAGTTCAGTAAATAGGAAGTTAATATTGTGTTATATTTTAGATACAATATTGTCTGTTGTTGCACAATTTTGCCAACAAAATATTACCTATAAAGCCACAGCAGAACTGTTGTGCGCCTCTGCAACACACAGCGGAGATGAAGAAATTCATTCGTTTCTGAATGAATCCACGTTTTGAACGAATTGGGTGAACCAATGATTTAATGGCCCATTCATAATCAGCGGTTTGAACGAACCGAATGAATGAATGACTCAATAACTTACTCATAAAGATATTTAAATAAAAGAAAGAAAGAAAGAAAAAGGATAGTTCACCCAAAAATAAACATTCTGTCATCATTCACTCACCCTCATGTTGTTTCAAACCTGTATCACTTAGCCTACTTTCTTTTGCACAAGGTATTTTGAAGACTGTTGGTAACCAAGCTGATTTGGTTACCAGGCAATGACTTTCATTGTATGAACAAATAAATACTGAGATGTTTCAGTATTTGAGATGTTTGTTCCATAGTTTATATTAGGTCATTGTAGCCTAAACATTTGTGTGTAATAAATTTAATGTTCTCATTTAACACAATAATGGCTTTAAAATTATCTTTTGCGGGTATTTTCACAGCCAGATTTCATTTGTGATTAATTCGATTAATCGCCACATCATGTAATTAATTAATTAAAATGTTTAATCAACTGACAGCCCTACTTTAAATGTGCTTTAGTATGTCAACACATCAAAATAAGTGTACTTCTTTAAAGCATGACAAATGATTATTAAAACATGATGATTTAAAAGTTCCTTAACTTTTAATTTGACATTATTGCAAAGTGCACTTTTTAAAAGTGTGTTAAGAAACATATCATGAATGTGTACTCTCTTAGGGTATGCTTAAGTAGCATTTTATTTCAATAATGTTATATTATCTGCAATTACAGTTTTAAAAAACATTCTTTAAAATTTTGAAGTATACACTATGAGTGCGGATTCAATACAATAATGCACACTTATTTTCATAAGGAGAGGCAGATCTGAATGTGATGAGATGTGAGCTAGTAGTCAAATGTACTAAAGAGGTGGAGTTCAGTGGACGAAATGATTGGACAAGTCACTACAGAGAAGTCTGTCATTTTAACAGAAGATCAAGTTATGACATTTAACATTTTTTTTTTAAATAAATCACACACTATTTAAAGGGTTCACCCCCAAAAAAAATGTCATGTCATCATTTACTCACCCTCAAGTCGTTCTAAACCTGTATGAGTTTATTGATTCTGTTGAACAAAAAAAGAATGTAACCAATTGCTGGTAGCCATTGACTTCCATAGTATGGGGGGAAAATACTATTGAAGTCAATGGCTACCAGCAACTGTTTGGTTACACATGTTCCTCAAAATATCTTGTTTAGTGCTCAACAGAAGAAAGAAACTCATACATGTTTGGAACAACATGAGGGTGAGTAAATGAAGAAATTATGCATTTTCATTTTTTGGCTGAACTATCTCTTTAAAATATAAGAGCTATTAGGGTTACTCACGCTCTTGTACTGCTGTCTGACCTGTGGCCATACAACTGAGTAGTGGTTGTATCACCATATCGAGTATCAATATTTAAACAGCTAACCACATGGAATAGAAAACCCCATTACAAGGTTTAAATGAACAGTTTTTCTACTCCTTGCATACTGACTGGACAGCTGGCTAACAAATAACAAATACTTTCCCCGTTTTCTGTTTCTTTGGCGCTAAAACTGCTCTAACCACAAGACAGCAGTTAAGCAACGGAGAAACTCATTCAT